TGTTCACCCTATCCATGCCCCTAATGATTTTATAAACCTTTGTAAGGACATCCCTCAGCCTCCGACACTCTAGGGAAACCCTTCAGAGACTGCAAGCCAGGAATTGCCCTACTCTTGTGGTGCTTAAGCGTCTATATTCAGGGCATGGCCCAGAAAGGAAAAATATCTCCTTGGTTGATCGGCAGGGACCTGAAAGTGCTGGTGGATGGGGTGGTGGTGAGAGGTATTGTACTGACCAGCAAAGGAGGCCACACCACCAAACTCAGCCAACCTGGACAGAGATATCAATACTGGTCAGTGCAGTGTCCCAGGTGAATGCAATACACAGCAGTACAGAAAGGAGGTTAATGATCTTCTGTGCTCCACAAGGATAAGTGTCACCATCTTCTCTCTGCTACCTCACAGTCACAGCTACCACCACTCACTCCAACACTGCACACATATCTCGTCAAGGTTTATGGACTACAACCCGTACAATGCATGCATCATTTGTACTCAAAGGCTCTCACCATTTCACTTTTCCAAATTACTAACAATTCCTACCTTCTGCATTTCCTACTCACTGACTGGGGATACCTCACCATCTTTCCTGATCATGCACCACCACTAACTGCTTTTCCACTTACTTCCATGATAACCAATCTCACATTTTGTCTTATTGCAGGAAAACCAGGCCAAGATGGCCAAGACTGGCTTTGGGGACAGGTGTGGCAGGGAGAGGGGGGGAGGTGGGGTTGGAAGCAGGAATGGGTGGCTAAGTCCTCATGTCACATGAGGAAAGAACACTGGGTTTGCCCAGAGAACAGCATGACTACTAATGTACGAATATGGAGACCTCCATGGGTAATCAACCGAGTAAAATTCTTTCAGCCATACTGCATGCTCTTCTATTAATACTGGAATTAATTCTTAATTTCAACTAGCTTTTATCGCTCTACACATCTAATTTTCTCTATTGTTTTGTGCATGGCCTGTTTCAGTGTAATAATTTCCTTAGCAACCCTGTCCAATGAACCCCAATCCCTAACTTAAGTTTTCCACTTTTCTCAAAAATCCATGGATGGCCCTTGATAAGTCCAATGACCATTAATTCCCAAACCACCAGGTCTGACCATGGTCCATCACCTGGACTGACTTGTGAGCCCAGCCCTAAATGAGAATGGCCAGCCCCTAGAATGAAGTATGCACAGAACCCTGACTGATGTAACTGTAAATCCCAGACTGGTTGCATTTGATCTGCAGGATTCAAGGTGGCCTAAACCTCAGACTGAAAAGACATAGTCGCTGTTCTCTGGTAAACACCTGACTCATCACTGTCTAACTCCTATGCTGGAATCAGACCAGTTCCTTGACTGATTGTAGAGGTTCGCCCTGACTGACTGTATTCTGCTTCGACTTATTGACACCTGGTCCCCTTTGACTTTTAGACATGGCCATTTGGTTGAAGCAAACGTAGTGTGTTTGCCATTTAAGCTGCTGACACATCCTGTAGATATGACACTGACGTAGCACACTGCCATATAGCGTGTCCACCACCATGATCGTTCAATGCTCCGAACTATGACAAGCTGCCACCTCTTCTCTGAGCTAAAATGCTACGCAAGCCACAGATGCTGGCAGCCTCGAAGCCAGTACAAAGTGAATGAACACTAAGAAATGAACAGCCACACAATACACACTGTGTAGATGCATGAGATGCTTGTGTGACTCTGTGTGCAAAGCGATCTAACAGAAGCCTACAAGTTGTGGCTACCCATGAACTTTAAAGTGATGTCCTGAAGTGCTAAAGTAATGTGAGAGTTGGTTCTTCAGAAGACGTGTAGATGAGGCAGGTGGTTTACTTGTGCCCACTAGCTTGGAGGAGGATGGTATCTGTGGAGAAGGCAGAGGTTTGTGGTGAAGACAGAGTTGGCTGAAGGCCCAGAGAAACAAGCAACAAGATGCTGCCACCAATTTACTGCTATGACTTTTGTGTCAGGAATTGGTATTATCTTTATTGGGGAAAGAGAGGAGAACTGGAATTGGCATTTGATGAGATGGTTTCGGCTAATAATGAGATACTGGTGCATAGTAATAAGGTAGGTATCACTTAATAGTGAGACTCTGAAGTCACCATTTAAACCTTAAGTAGAAAATTGAAAAATTTTTCTCAACATCAAGATGCTAAATTTTTTAAGTCTTGCCAAATTTTCCCAACTTTCTTATTATCACCCATGCCACTCAAGAGAGTGGAAAACTCTGTCCATGCTATCTGCATTTGTTGAATTGTGAAGGATTATTAAGATTCTTCATGGCTAGCATTGAGAAATGCTGTTTCATGGTTTACAAAAGGAGGAATACAAGAATGTAAAATTTAACAAAAGTCACAAATTTGAGAATTTCTTTCTTTTCATATGTGTGAAGAAACTGTATTATTGCTTTATATCACACATATATGTTAGGAATCTACATATGCATCACTCCCAAAGCAAAGGCTATATCCATTGATAAATGTCCCAAAAAATCAGAATTGCCAGGTAGATGTCTATGAGTAAATCTTAAGTCTTTAGGTGTTGCCTTCTGTATCCAATTAAATAGGTGACACCTCTTCTTGAGAATTAAATGAACAAAAAACCCAAAAAAGATCTTTTAAATGCTGTGTGATGAAAATTGATCTTGAACCAGTGAAACAGCACTTTTCATGCCAGCCATAAAGAAGGATAATTGTCCCCTTTAACAATGGAAGCATCAGATGCACTACAGGTACAGAATTGTAAGTATGGATATCCAGAATAGAGGCTTTGGTTTGTACAATAAAATTGCTAGAATCTGTCATCCCTTTCATTCTTAAGGACAGTGCATGCTTAAACAACTCATATGTTTACTTCTGCTTTTTTTAAAGATGTGAAACTTATAAATGTTGATGTTTGGAGAGGTGTGTATACTTATTCTAGGAACACAGAATGTTAGCATGCAAGTCCAACAAGCAGTTTGGAAGGTAAATGGCATGTTGGACTTTATTGCAAGGGGTTTGGAGTGCAAGAATAAAGAGATCTGCTACACTGTACAGGATTTTGCCTTAAGGGGCTTGACTTAAATGTTGAGAGGATGTTTACGGTCATAAGACAGTCTAGGACCAGAGGGTATTGTCTCAAAAGTAAAGGATGTCAATTTGACTGTGGAAGAATTCCTTCTCTCAAAGGGTTGTGAATCTTCAGAACTCCTTGACACAGAGAGCTGTGGGAGCAGAGTCCTTATACATATATTTAAGGCTGAGATAGATAGATTATTGTTTAGTAGTGGGATCAAAGGATATGGGGAAAAGGCAGGTTAAGGGGATGTGAAGAATGTCGGATCCGCAATTATTTGATTGAATGGGAGAGCATGCTCAAGTGGTTGAATAGCCTACTATTGTTCCTGTTTTATGGTCTTATGGTCAAAATACTCAACTTAGACAATCCTTCCGTATCCAGGATCAACCCTAATGAGTCTCCTCTGGACTGCCTCCAATTCAAGTATATCTTTCCTTAGATAAAAGAACCAAAATAGCAGTTCACAGTATTCCAGCTATGGTCTAAATACTGAACAAAAATAAAGTTGCTGGAAAAGCTCAGCAGATCTGGCAGCATCTGTGAAGGAAAAAACAGAGTTAACGTTTCAGGTCCGGTGACCCTTCCTCAGAACTGATGGTGGCTGGGAAAACGTCAGTTTTTATGCAGAAAATAGGGAGGTGGGTAGGGTAGGGAGTAAATGATAGGATAGAGCCCAAAGAGAGAGAAAGACAGTTGGACAGACAAAGGAGTTGCTAATGATCAGGCTGGGAGGGTGAATAGTTGTTAATGGGGACTGTTAGTGACTAACAACAGGGGGTGTGTAGTGGCAGGCTATGTGGTAACAAGGCCTGGTGTGTGGGGTAGGGGGTTGGGACATGGGAGAGTTTAGGCCCTAAAATTATTGAACTCAATATTGAGTCCGGAGGGCTGTAGGGTCTCCAAGCGGAAAATGAGGTGTTGTTCCTCCAGCCTGCGTTAGGCTTCGCTGGAACACCGCAGCAAGCCAGAGACATAGATGTTGGCCAGGGAGCAGGGTGGTGTGTTAAAGTGGCAGGCAACAGGTAGTTTAGGGTCTTTTTTGTGAGCAGAACGTAGATGTTCTACGAAGCAGTCGCCAAGTCTACGCTTCGTTTCCCCAATGTCAAGGAGACCACCCTGTGAGCAGTGAATGCAGTAGACTGGATTCTGGGAAGTGCAGGTGAGGCGTTGCTTCACCTGGAAGGTATGTTTGGGCCCTTGGATACTGGGGACGGAGGAGGTAAATGGGCAGGTGTTGCACCTTCGCTGGTTACATGGGAAGGTGCTGTAGGGCTGTGGGGAGGTGTTGGGGGTGAAGGAAGTATGAACCAAGGCGTCCCAGAGGGAATGGTTCCTGCGGAAGACAGACAAGGGAGGGGAGGGGAATATGTGTCTGGTGGTGGCATCTCGCTGGAGGTGGCGGAAATGGTGTCTGATGATCACCTGCCCATTTACCTTTCTGTTTTCTATTAGTTAACCAATCCCCTATCCATGCTAATATGCTACCACAACACTATGGGCACTTATTAAGTAGCCTAATGTGTGGTACTTTATCAAATGCCTTCTGGAAATCTAAATCTATTTTTACATCCTCTTCTCCCCTTTTACCTATCCTGCTTGTACCGATTCAAAGGCTTCTAGTAAATTTGTCAGGCATGATTTCACTTTCATCAAGCCATGCTAACTTTGCTTGATCACATGATGTCTTTCCAAAAGCTTTAGTATTACATTTTAAAAGTAATGAGCAAAACAGTTTAAAAAAATTGAACGGTGCAACTTTTATTAGGGGCTATTGGTGGATTCTTTAGCGCAATTCACAGCGTGACGGTAATTTCACACACCACCCTCTGGGTGGCAGTTTCGTTGCATTGCATACTCGAGGCTTGCATGAGAACAGCCGGTGGTTTCGCAAAGCGACATCGCTCATCCATCACAACGAGCCATAGAGACGTGAGTGTGACTGTGTTTGTCAGAGAGATCTACCGCCTCATCTGTTCTCCCTTTCCGCAGATCGGGTCATTTCAACCGCTGGTGTACTGCACGCTGCTGCCGCTAACTGTGCAGTCACCGCACCCCCTGTGCAGAGAATGACCTCCTGAGCTGCTGTGTCAGCGGGCATCTGAGTGCCGGACCAGCAGCGATCATTCAAGGTAATCTGATCCAGCAGCTTGTATGTGGCGGCTTGTTGTTCACTAGGAGACCCGAAAATGTGGGCAGGAAGTTAGGGGTGAATGTGCTTGGCCTAACATGTTAGAATGGGCATCTTGGCGATCTAGACCTACACGGCATACAGAAAAGTACCAGTGCGAAAGGCGGGTCTTTCGCTCTTATCCATTACCTCTAGGGTGCATTTTGGATTCTTTTTCGCGCAGCGGATTGCTGAGGGTGGGCTCCGATTAGCGGGTTGAAAAACCTCAAAAGTCGCATCAGAGGGGAAATGACCTGGAGGGCGCAGATTCTCACCAGGGCTGTTTCCATTTCATCGGAGTTTCTTGGCCCGTGCAATAGAGAATATGTTCCCAGTCAGTTTAGCCGCTATCTCACGGGTTGCTTACTGCTGAGTGTAACCCTGCACAGATTCTACGCCCCCCTCCTCTCCCGCTGCAGTGCAAGGAAGCTTAGTGACCGCCTACACAACAGACGCCGCTGTGTCCTGCCATTCGCATTGTGTGGTTAGAATGTGCTTCATGTACCCTCCAATTATAATTTTATTTGGTACATATGTCAGACGTACTTTCCTTGGTTGATATAGGAGAATTGCTAGAAATGACATCTTTCATGTTAGCAAGAACAACAATTAACATAACATCCTAATTTTCTGTGCGGCCCTTCTCTCCAATAGATGCTGACGCTGCGGGGTTTTTTTGTGTGTGGGGGTTGGGAACGTGGCACAATAATTACCTTCACCGAACTGACAATTACTTGTGTGTGGCCTCAACAGTCAGTACTAGGCTGACGTTCAACTTGAATGGCAATTACAAGTAGGCCCACTCGTGCCACTTGGCAAGTACATCTCCTGCACAGATTAAAGCAGCTTGAACAAAACAAATGGCACAAGTACAGGTCAACGGGTATGATCTTACAGCCATTTCAGAGCCGTAGTTAAAAAAAATCAAAGCATAGAGCTAAATATTCAGGAGTATGTGACTTTTTGAATGGACAGGCAGGAAGGAAATGTTGATGGGAAAGCATTGGAATAAGTATGATAGCAAGAAAGATATCGAATCCATGTCGGTTGGAGGTAGGAAATAAAAATGGAAAGAAGACATGGCTAAAAGTAGTTTATAGGCCTCTAACAGTAGGTGTGGAGTGGGACAGTGAAAACATGTAAGGAAGACAGTACATTAATCATGGGTGACTTTAATCTTCATGTAAATTGGGATAGTCAGATAGGCAGAGGAAGCCATGAGGAGCAATTCATAGAGTGTATTCAGATTAATTTGTTGCGGATTCAACCAGGAATCAGGCTATTTTGGATTTAGTGATGTGTAAGGAGAGAGGTTTAACAAATCATGTCAGAATTTAAAGAAGAATCCCCAGGAAACAGTAACCATAATACGTTAGAACTTAGAATTTGGTTTGAGAGGGTGGAACTTGGGTTAGAACTCACTGTGCTGAGCTGATAAGTTTAATTACAAAATAATGAGGGCGGAGCTGGCTGGAGTGGACTGAGAAAGGAGTTTAGCATTCAAGATAGTTGAGAAAATAGTTCGTGGCTCCTCAGCAAAGACATGTTCCAGTGAGGAAGAAGGATTCTAGGAAGGGATAAGCCAACTGTGGGTTAACCAGTGAAGTTAAGGATAGCATGAAATTGAAATAAAAAACAATGTGGCAAAGATTAGTGGTGAACCAGGGAATTAGGAATGTTTTAAAAACCAACAAAATGCAAACCAAAACAAATGAGGAAGAAATTAAACTTTGCAAGTAAACTTGTAAGTAATGTTAATACAGGCAGCAAGAACTTCTATGAACACATAAAAAGGAATAGAAGCCAAAGTGAACATAGGCCCCTTATGAATGAGACTGAGGAAATAACAATGGGGAACCAGGAAATGGCAGAGGAATTGAATTAATACTTTGCATCAGTCTTCATAGTAAAAGACAGTAATAGCATTCCAATATTACTAAACAATCAAAAGGCAAAAGGAGAAGAGGAAATAAATACAATAACTATCACTTAAGAAAAAGTGCTTGACAAACTAATGGAGCTAAAGACCAATAAGCCAACTGGACCTGATTGGATGCACCCTACAAGAGAAAGGCAGTAGCTACAGAGGTTGTGGATGCACTGATAGTAATCTCCCAAGAACCTTAGATTCTGAAAAGGTCCCAGATAATTGGAAAATTGTCAACACCTTTATATAAAAAGGAAAAGAGACAAAACACAGGTAACTGTAGGCCAGTTAGTTTAATGTCAATTATTGGGAAAATGTTGTGTCTATTCTAAAGGATGTAATAGCAGAGCATTTAGAAATACATAACATGATCAAGCAGAGTCATCATGCTTTCATGAAGGGGATATCATTCCTGATAACTTTATTCGTTATCGTTGAGTAGGTAGCAAGCAGGATCAATAAAGGGAAGCAGAGTATGTTATATACTTGGATTTTCAGAATGAATTTGATTAGGTACATGTTAGGCTTCTTGATAAGACAAGAACTCATGGTGTTGCAGATATTGTATTAGCATGGATAGCAGATTGACTAAATAATGTGAGACAGACAGTTGGGAAAGGTTGCATTTTCAGGATGGCAGCCTGTAACTAGTGGTTTGCCTTAGAGATCAGTGCAGGGCCACAATTATTTACAGTATATATTAATGACTTAATTAATTACAGAATATATTAGCGATGAGAAAAGTGAATGTATTATAGTCAATTTTGTGGATGTTACATAAATCAGTGGAAAGGTGAGTGATGAGGATGACACAAAGAGTCTGCAGAGTGATATAAACAGGTTAAGCAAGTGGGCAAAACCTTGGCAGATGGAATATAATGTGTTACACATATTGGCAGGACAAATAGAGGAGCTAAATGTTAATTAAATGAAGAAAGACTGCAGAAACCCACAGAAGAAAGGGATTTGGATTCATCATGCGAACATCCAAGTTCAGCGGGTAATATCTTTCCCATCAATCTAACTATAGCACTCATCCTAAATATTCCTTGCAGTAAAAGATTCTAATTACTTTCTCGGAAGTGTAATTTCTATGAATTCACCATTGGATTTCTTGGTGATTGTCCAATATTTTTGACTCTGTGTAAGTCTGGAAGCGCAATTCATGCCTCTCAGCCAAAAATTCTGGTTTGAGTCTCACTCTAGAATATGATGGCCAAGAGAAGTGTGTTAATAATTTGGCCACACAGGTTGAGTATCAACCTGTAAATCCTCCCAACATATGCCAAAGGCAGATGGTGAAAGATTCCTGGTCAGACATGTGATGGAAAGAATGGTGGCCAAGATCCCTTATCAATCAAGTGATGTCGTCCAATGAGATTGAATCAAAGCTGGGTGTCCTTGGGCTTGCATAGGTTTTGGTTCACATATAGTGAGACAGTGGAAATGTTCATTATGATTCATTCTTTAGCTAATAGAGACACTTTGTGTTCGGACACAGGATGACATCATTAGGGGTCTCAATAAATCTTAACCTTGATTGGTTTGTTTGAGGACGGTAAGTACATGTTTGCATCATCAACTCTAATGAGATTGAAAACGAGCTGCCATGGAATAAACATACAGAAGATGGACAGGTTGTGTCATCAAGGAGGCAGGGATGAGAAGGAGGACTGGACATGGGATGAGGGCAAGGATGGAGAGATTTTGAAACTGGTGAATTCCATGTTTAGGCCATCGAGCTGTAGGCTCCCAAGGCGGAATATGAGGTGCTGCTCCTCCAGTTTGCGTGTGGCATCATTGTGACAGTGGAGGAATCCCAGGATGGACATGTCACCCAGGGAGTGGGGGGAGGGGGGGTGGAATTAAAATGTTTTGTGACCGGAAAGTGTTGTCGTTTGTCGCAAACAGAGCACAGATGCTCTACAAAATGGTCTCCATGTCTCTGCTTGGTCTCACCAATGTAGAGGAGGCCACATCGGCAGCAGCGGATACAGTAGACCAAGTTGACGGATGTGCAGGTGAACCCCTGTCTAATGTGGAATGTTTGTTTTGTGCCTTGAACGGAAGTGAGGAGGTAGGTGTAGGGGCAGGGGTAGCATCTCCTGTGGTTGCAGGGGAAGGTGCCGGGGGTGGTGGGGCCAGTGGGGAGTGTGGAGCGGACAAGGGAGTCGTGAAGATAACAGTCCCTATGAAAAGCAGATAGGGTGGGGAGGGAAATATTTCTTTGGTTGAGAGGTCGGATTGTAGGTGGCGGAAGTGGCGGAGAATGATACATTGGATGCGGACGTTGGTGGGGTGAAATGTGAGGGCGAGGGGGATTCTGTCTTTGTTTTTGTTGGGAGGAGGGGATGTGAGGGCAGAAGTGAGGGAAATGCAAGAGATGTGGTTGAGGGCATTTTCAGTTACTGGAGGGGGGATGTTACCGTCCTTGAAATAGGAGGACATCTGGGATGCATGGGAGTGGAATGCCCCCATCTTGGGAGCAGATGCGGCGCAGGCGGAAGAATTGGGAGTTGGGGATTGCATTCTTGCAGAAAGGTTTGTGAGAGGAGGTGTAGTCCAGTTAGCTGTGGGACAGCAGGCTTGAAATAGATGTTGGTTTCGAGGCGATCACCAGAGATGGAGACAGAGAGGTCCAGGAAGGAGAGGGAGGTATCGGAGATGGTCCAGGTGAATTTGAGGTTGGGGTGAAAGGTGTTCATAAAGTTGATAAACTGTTCAAGCTCCTCACGAAAGCATGAGGCAGCACTGATGCAGTCATCAATGTAGCGGAGGAAGAGTTGGGGGATAGTGCCAGTGTAGCAGCGGAAGAGGGACTGCTCCATGTATCCTACGAAGAGGAAAGCATAGCTTGGGCACATGTGGGTGTCCATGGCCACCCTCTTAGTTTGTAGGAAGTGGGAGGAGTTAAAAGAGAAGTTGTTAATGGTAAGGACGAGTTCAGTTAAATGGATAAGGGTTACATCAGATCTATTTATTAGATTTTGTGAAGTAATGTAGATGTTATTTAATGTAGTGATTAATTTTGGTTGACTATTAAGTTGACCATCTTTATGTAAATGTTGATACACATTACAGTATTTTTTCCAGAAAAAAAAAGATCATACAGCTTTCAAAATTGTAGAAAAATGTGCTAGGAACTCTCCTACCATGTTTTGGACTAAGATGTAAAAGTCCAGTGATCTTCAGTTTTGAACAAAAGTCTGCTTTTGAAGATTAAAAAATCTAAGCACAAACTATACTCCGTTGATTGACATGCAGTCTACTTTGAAATGATAATGAAACACTATCTAGAGCTTAATAGAGACATATGGTGGCTTAGTTTCAAATGTTCCATAGTTGACATTCTCAGGATTTGCTGTTATACCTGTGGCTATTATGAATACCTCATTGTATTTCAAAAAGTCCAGGATTGTAGAATCTGCCTTATGTGGGGCAATCTATATCTATAGGTCACAGTTTTACAACAAGGGGTAGCAGATTTAAAACATATATGAGATGAAATTACTTCTCTCAATCGGTTATGAATCTGCGGAATTCAATACCCCAGAATGCGGTGAATGCTGGGATATTGAGTAAATTTAAGGAGGAAATAGACAGATTTCAATTAGTATTTAATTGAAGAGTTATGAAGAGCTGCAGGAAAGTAGAGATGAGGCCAAGATGAGATCAGCCATGATCATATTAAATGGTGAAGTGGTTAGATGGGCTGAGTTGCATCAGCAATCTGTGGAGAAGCATCTATTGAGAAAAACCAGAATTAACATTTCAGGTTCAGTGATCCTTCTTCAGAACAGTTCTGAATAGTTCTGAAGAAGGACCACAGGACCCGAAACATTAACTCTGCTTTTTCTCCACACATGCTGCCACACATGCTGAGTTTTTTCAGCAATTTCTGCTTTTATTTCTGATTTCAAGCATCTGCAGTTCTTCAGCTTTTTTCAGCTGAATTGCCTACTGCTACTCCTAGTTCTTATGTTCTTGTGATCACTTCACATTTTTATTGCAGTTCTAAGAACCTATTAAAGCATTAATTTTCTTTTGATGTTATAAATGGATAAACATTTGTTTTTGACAACAGGATGCCCACTTAAGGAGCTTTAATTTTTGAATGGGCTCTATCAATGAAAGTTTTTAAAGTATAAAGTGTCTATGATATGAACTGCCAGATTTATTTATATTTTATTTATTTTTTAATGTCATTTATTTAAAGTTTGTGTTTTGTATTTTGGGTTGATGATATGTTGGTCTTCTGTGAGTCTGAAATTAATAATTAACTTGTAAGTACTTCTGTAGCCATGGTGACTTATTTTTAAACAGTTCCTAAGAGGCACTTTGGTGGCACTAATGGGATTTTGATAACCTTAACACATTTTATAATTTGGCAAGGTGATCTATTGTGCTTTATTTGTTCGAAATTTCTAGGTTTGGGGATTTTTTAACTTAGGGGAAACACCCATAGCTTAGAGAGAAGGAGACTTTCTTTCAGTTTTACATGTTTTTGGGCAGTTCTGTGAAGCCCTTGAATGAAGATATTGTATAGAACCATGCTGCTGAGAGTGGAGAATATACTAAAAATAGACTGCCTTAAAGTAAGAAGTTAATCTCAGTCCCAAAACAAAAGTGTTGGGCTAAAATCCTGGGCAGATAACGTGAAGACCTGCATGTTCAAGCTCAGGTGTATGATAGCTCCAGGAAAAAGCTTTCAGTGTTTCCTATCACACTTACCTTCAGCATATGAGGTGTTAGGAAAAGATTTCTCTCTGATGTCAGTACTATAAATCTATATAAAGCTATACAAGGCTTTTTTCAGGATTTGCAGAAGATTGTTTTAGGATTAAAGGGATTCTACTTTTACAATGTGTTTAAAACTCTTTGAATTTGGGTTATAAGTAAATGGCTTAGATTATTCTATTTTATCTTCCTTTCTTTTCGTTAATGTTGTTCAAGCAAAATCTGCAATATTGTGAAGTTATGTTTCATTGAGAAACCATCTGGTTAAAACCAAAACAAAACAAAATATGATGTATCAATCCAGATTTCAGTCTGCAATCTGATTTATCCAATGATAACACCAGCTAGGATCAAACATGTCCTTTCGTATGACAGCTCTATTAGATTGTTATCCTGAGGTCTTCCCATATTGGACCAGTGTGATTGGCTATTGAAGATAAATGGGAGTAAGGGAGTATGGGGGGCATGGGATTATGTATGGGCATGGGGAATGTGAGGGAGGATGAAGATGGTACATGGGGACTTGGGGTGGAATAGGGAAAGTGATGGGAGTAAGAGGGGTATTGAAGGGCATGGGGAGTATGAGTTTTTTTTGGTAAGAGGGTTTGGGGCAGAATGAGGAGTGGAAATTAAGGGTGCAGGGAATATTAGGGGGCTTGAGTGTGAATAAGGATTCAGGGTTGGATGATAAGAACTATGTTGGAGAATTGCAATATTTCAGCAAATCAAACAGGGTCTTCTAAATAGCTTGTCTATGCACGTGCTCTTCGCCAGCATTACCCAAGGATTTGGAAAACTTCCTCCCTCACGTCTCCAAGAGATGTAAAAATGGTGGACGTGAGCAGAAATGACAGATTTGGGTGTCTGAACATGAGAAACATTCTGACTCACATTTTCTGAGCCCAACACAAAATCTTGCTCGTTATCAATATTCTTCATCATCGTTTCATCAATGTCTTAGAACTCCCACATTGTTTGTGCATCTTTCCTTCTCATTCTGCCATGGCTCAAGAAGTAGATCCATTGCTGCCAACTCAAGGCCAAGAAAAGGACAAGCAATTTGTGTTGGCTGTACCAGAGATCTCCACGTTCCAAACTTTGCTTAAAAATAAATATTGACACAATCCTGCTGAGCAGTTTGCCAGCTTATAAAAGAGATTTGCCTGTCATGTTTGCCTAATGTTAAACAAAATGATTTGGAATATTGGTCATTTGTGGTGATTGTGCTATTTTTGATTGTTAATATAAACCGGATGTGGAAATTCTCCTGGAATAGCCAAGAGCCCGTATTAGGATGAATCACAAAGAATCCAAACTAACAACAGTTTAATAATATTCCCTGTCTTTGTGGTATTTTTTTCCTGTGTATTATATTAATGTATTCACATTCAAATTTCTTGAATTGTTGTCCACAGAGAGATCATTCCCAAGGTATTGCAGCAAGTTTGAACTGATTGGCAATAGAGTTTAAATTTTAATTTACAATGTAAATTAGCACAGACAAGAAAACAAATTAACACAGACAAGAACATTTAGAAGCAGACTTATGTTTTTCTGAGTTGGAGGTAATAGATGTGAACCTGACTTTGATTTCCTGTCAACATAAAAGCAGGCACATAACATGTCACCACCAAGATGTCTATCCCAAGTTTTCCTCTTCCTTTTGTAATATGATGGATGGAATCTTCCCAGCCCCTGAATAACACAGACCACGTGATAAAATTGAAAAAAATCACATGAAACATCCAGTAAGGAGCTTCTCAACCTTGGGAGCAAAAGGCTATATTTTTCAACCAAGTGTTGAATGGTCAGACGAGATTCTCACTCAGTGAGCGGTGAGACGTCTATCTGCATGCATCAAGATACATGAACATTTCATTATTAGCTAAGTTCACTTCATTGATATGCAATTTCTCATTCTCCCACCCACCAGATAGAAACTAACAGGGATATTTATCGACATGCAAGTCAGAGCAGTTACCTGCTCCAGTCCTCCATCCTGGACATCAGGCACGAACATCTCAGAGCACATTCCATTGCCACTGAATCCACGCATGCCACCCCATCTATTGACCTTGACATCTGACATGTACAAGCCTCATCACAGCATTGTGGCACATCTCCAATTTACTTACAGTATGAGTCTGCACTTCAGAAATGAGGAAGGATCACTCAATCTGAAATGATAACTCTGATTTCTGTCCACAGATGCTGCCAGATCTGCTGAGCTTTTCCAGCAATTTCTATTTTTGTTTCTATATCTGATTTGTTAACTTGATAAGCCTAGGGGCTGGTGGTGTAAAGGGGGAAATGGAGAGCTAAATTGATGAGTTGGGGTGGACTTAGAAAAGTTCAAAGTTGATGGCAAGAGCTACTAAGAGGTAAATGTGTACATTTGGGAGTTCACAAAGGCTAAGAGGCTGAGCCCTGACACTCATTGCATGAGGAGTAACCACTGTTTCTTTCCATTGGACTCTAGATGACAAGTATACAATGGTGGCTGAGAATGGCTGAAACCACACCCAGAGTGGGCAGGGTTAAATGGTTTCTTCTGTGATGGAGAATCACTTTTGGGCAATGTGAGGTCCTTTGTAGGAGGACAGTGTTACAAAGGCACCCATGCAGTGCAAATGAAAGATAACAGCGAGCACTGCATGCTCTGTGAACCTTAGGCATTACCATTCCATGCGGTGTCCAAATCCTGCACTCCTGACTGCATCATGCAGCATCAGGAATCAATACTCAATAGTTGTAATGCACAAGTAATATCTTACAACTTGGAAAGATTCACCTGAATTGCCAAAGTAGCAAGCATCTTTCAAGTTCCCTTGGCCTGTACATGATGCAGGAGCTGCTCAATTCACAATTTAGTTCATACAATCTCAGGTAGTGCTAAGGAAGGCTCTGCATCTTCAATATTGTAGTTGCCACTGGACAGACATTTAGTTTCACATCTGATAATGAAAAGTGAACACTTATGAGCAAACGTGATAAAGTATTTACAATTAAGAGTCATCTGTGCATTCACAGAAAGTTGTCTTCTTTGTTTCCCTCCCAATACATCTCAGTGCAGTCCTGGGTTCCCAGTTGGCCTTGGAGTTTTGGTCAGATAACCAACCCCAGGGACATTTGCATCTAGAGGGCCTAGGTAAGTGCACTCTCCTCAGCATGAGCAGGACTGAGGGTGACTGAGGGTGGCAGTCAGGATGGAGAGAGAAAGTTGGCCACCTCTGCAGTGCCCTGATGGGAAAATTTGATTTGCTTCCTTCTCTGTGTGGGTGCCCACTGCCACTGCCCTGTCTCAGCTGAGGAAGGGGCAGCTGGAGTGGGGTCAATGTTCCTCATTCCCCTGTGACTTTGACATTGGTGCTGAGTGATGGAGTGTAGATGTGTGTGTGTATACTCAGCAGACATTGAGACTGCTGGACCTGACTATCCATGGCAGATGCCAAACTGTCCATGGAAACAGCCAAAAGTTCGCATATTGGAGCAACATGGTACAAGTGCAGTCTTACAACTTTTGTGTCAGTTGCCATGGACAATTCTGCCTGCTGCTGCACCTGCTTATGCATTTGAAAGGAAAGCACACTGTGTGAGACACCATAAGGACATTTTAATACTTTCAAACTTACGTGAAAGACAATGGGTTGAAAATCGAAAATGGGAATATTTACTTTTGATGCCCAGAAGCTCTCCACTGCTGATCTCATGTGATTCCCCCAACTTTCTTACCAATTACCATGTCGTTCAGTGCCTAGCAAGATTCAGCACATAGTCTTGACTGCCCACAAACCCTGTCCCTTTCTGCTTTGCGTGCAATTGAAGATCAAGGCACAAATTGCACTCAAAATTGTGCTAGTTTTTCATTTAGTTAACATCAAATGTGAAGGTTACAGTGAACCAATGCAATCTGGCCATGTTTTGGAATAGATTTGCTTTAAAATATATTCTTTGATATATTTAAGATCAATAATTTAATGCACTTGGAGTCATAAAGCTGAAAATGGGTTTGTCATAAGAAAATAGGAACACGAGTTGTCCTATTAGAGTCTGCTCTGCCATTCAGTTAGATCATGACTGATCATCTCCATCAATACTATTTTCCCGCATTATCGCCTTATACCTTAATTTGGTTAGTTTCCAGAATCTTTAGATTTCTGTCTGGAACATGTTCAATGATTGAGCCTCCACAGTCTTCTGAAAATTTCAAAGATTCACTACCTTCTGAGTGAAGAAATTCCTCTTTATCTTAGCCTTAAATGATAAACCCTTTATCCTGAGATTATGTCCGTGGTTTTAGCCTCATCAGCCAGAGGAAATGTCTACATCTGTCTGTCATACCCTGTAAGAATTTTACAAGTTTCAATTAGGTCACCCCTCATTTATCAAAACTCCTATGGAATACAAAACCAGTTTCCTCAATCTCTTCCATAAAGCAATCTGTGCCATCTCAGGGGTTCATCCAGCGAACCTCCAGTGCAAGTATATTCTTCCTTCAATAAGGGGACAAAAACAGCACACAGTACTCCACATGAGGTCTCACCAAGGCTTTATACAACTGTAACAAGGCATCTTTACTCCAGTATTCAAATCCCCTTGTAATGTAAGCCAAGATACCATTTGTCTTCCTAATGGCTTGCTGTACCTGCATGCTAACTTTTAGTGTCTCATGAACAAGGAAACCCAGGTCCCTTCAGACACTTGTACTTTCCAATCTCTCAGTATTTGAAAATATTCCTCCAAATTTCACACTTATTCACATTATATTCCAACTGCCATGTTCTACCCCATTCACTTAACTTGATCAAGTCAGCTTGAAGCTTTCTTGTGTTCTTCTCACAACTTACGTTCCTATCCATAGCAGTTTGGAAATGTTATGATTGGTGCCCAAATGTAAAACATTTATGTAGATTGGGAACAGTTGTGGACCCAGCACTGACCCTTGCAGTGCCTCAGTAATAACAGCCTGTCACCTGAAGATGACCTATTTAAGTTTTCACTCTGTTTTTCTATGTTAACCAATTCTATATCCATACTGGTATATTTTCCCTAATTCCATACGCTCTAATTTTATTCAATACCCTGTGTGGAATCTTAGAAAATCTAAAGACAATACGTCCACTGGTTCTCCTTTATATATGTTTGGCATAACATTCTCATAAAGGACTCTGACAAGTCTGTTAAAAATGTTGCCCCTTTCATAAATTAATGTTGACTCTGCCCAATTTTATCACTCATTTCTAAATGTTGAGTTATCACATCCCCCAGGTAGCTTTGTACCTAAGATGGCCTGTAAATGGCAACTTATAAACTTTTCACTGTACTCATTTGAGTACGTGACAATAAAACTAATTCAATTCAATAATCACTTCCACTATTTTCCCTATTACTGATGTCAAACTGACAGGTATGTGGTAATCTGTTCTCCTTCTTAAGTAGTGTTTCTATTAAGATTCCAGTTTGTAGGAACCTTTCCAGAATCTATAGAATTTTAAATAACCAACAATGCATCTACTATCTCCATAGTTACTCCTTTAATACTGGAATGAGGCTCATTAGGCCAGGGGACTTACCAACCTTCAATACAGTTAAATTTTCCAAGTAAATAACTAATACTAATTTCTAATAATTAAAACAAACTCTTTTTATCAGAGAATCCATCAACTTGTAAAACACATCAGGTAGTGTCCTTGCTCCAGAAGGAAAGATTTAATTTCAAGAATGGCCTCAAAGGCTTGTGATCAGGTGCAATTAGCATAAATCTGCTATTTGTGGGGAGGGGTGGTGACAAGATTTGTGGTGGGGCAGGCTCCAAACACAATGGTTTTAAATTAAATAAGAGATTGAGGCAACTTGATTTGTGCTGGATGTAAATTGGGATTTAAATTCAGTGATCTCCCACACTGGTTTGGCAGATATTGCAAGGAATTCTGCTGAAGAAATTAGGACAACCTAAGGATAGCTCCAGGTGACCGTATTTAAAAGTCTACACATGTATAGATACATGGAGTACATGACGCATCAATAGTTCTTTAAAACAAGATCCCATGGAATATTTTAAATTAAAATTATTTATATAGGTGTCTGTAGCATGTAAGGAAGTATACCTCTACCATATCCATTTCGGAACAGAATGCATGGTTCAGTGGTCAATCAAAATCAACTTTCTTACTAAACAAAAAAATCACCCAGTTTGCTTAAACTGTAACTTATCTATATGGTTTAACTGGTACTTATTCCATTGCAATGTAAAGTTGTTTTGAAGCTGACAGCACTGATAAGCTAGAAACATCATTCTGATTCTCAGTTGGACAGACCTTGGCCTGCAGAGGTTCAAGAAGGCTCACTGCCTCATTCTCAAAAGGACAAGTTACAGGTGGACAATAAATGCAGGTCTTGCTAATAGCACACACCTCCTGAGAATAAATAAAATGTATTGGTATTTGCTAAAAGAGATCCACGTCAGTCTGTCAAGGTAAAATACAAACTTTCCATAGGCCTAGAAATTTTGAACATTGCCAAGAATTCCATAAGAGCAATCTTGTAAGCTGTAACATGTTCTAACAGGATCTGGCTTCCTTCTTTTTCCATCACCTGATTCAGACTAAAGCATGATAATTCTCAAGTATTTTCTGCCTTTTTTCCCCTCTATCTCCTTCATAAAATTTGCCCTTGAATGAAAAAACACTGTTATTGCTACCTTGGTTTATTTGTTCGATAAATTCTGCATCTACATTTTTTTCAGAATCGGTCTTTTTTTATACAATGCAATTTGATGTTACTGCAATGAACTGACTGATGTGTTGGATTGTAATTCATATTTTTCCTGTGTATTTCATACAATAGAAGTTACAGAAGCCTTTGAGGCAAAACATAGATACGAGATGGAATTAACCACCAGATAGTTATTGTGTAGTTTAACACGCAATATGAGTTAAGGCACTTCTGATATCAAAGTAATCAAAATTTCTTGTGTAAACCGCTGAGGAAAGTGGTTTGCTGATTTGTACAAAATGTTTTGTTCTGGCTGGTCTGGAATTGAGAACGCTCAAAAAAAAACCCCAATCTGCTGGCAACACCCTTGCAAAGGTTGTGGCCATGTTAAGGTGAAGATACTTCTATAAAGCAGCTGAAAACAGTGTTTATTGTAAGTGATGGCCACTTGCTGATATATGACAGCTTCAGTAATTCCACAGCAAATTTCTATGTGTTACCTTCTAAGGAAATAGTGCAACAATGTCTGCCTGTAGATTATAAATATCCCTTCTGTTGATTGAACTACAGTATGACATTCTGGTCAAAAGGTCCAAAGCAGTATTTTCTCCAATTTTCCCATCACAAGCAATCTAAGACAATAATATGAGGCACAGTTCTTGGTGGTGATCTTAGCAATTCATTTGACATTTTCACTATAAGAGAGGATAGGATGAAATGGTTGTTTTCATTTGGAGCAATTGTATGTTGAATATTTAAAAACTGGCAGCAACTTTAAATGGAGTTGGCTGATTTAAAGTAAACAGTTAAGATCAAATACAATTCACTGAAATTGGGATAATGGAAAATTGTGCCCTTTAAGGGCGTTTCGATGCATTCTTAGTTGGCACACGTGAGAATAATTGACTGAATGCAAGCAAAGCATTCAACATTTATTGGCAAATTAAGCATCTGTATTTAGTTGAGAACCTGTTATGCACAGTGCATTGAGAAAACACCCTTTTATTAAATACTGTTCTTAAGAGCTTGTGTTGATTAACAGTCACCTGTTGTAGTGCAAATCAGACTTCAGTAAGATAGATTGATAGGTATCAAGGCAAAGCACTGTTGAAAGCCATTGTATCGTCAATCTTATATTACCGAGGTTAGTTAAAGATTAATTGACAGTATTATGCCATCGTTTTTTTGCATAACTCTCACTGTGCTAAAGGGCAATTGGCTTTATTTAAATTAGTTATCATAAAGCCTTATTTCATTTCCCGCAACTATTAGATTTACATGATACCAAATTATGTCATTTGATAACATGATACAAATGATGCAGCTCTTCTTGCTTTTTTATTAAATATCAAAAGTAGTCAAAAATAATTGTCATGATAGCAGTGCTTATTTAATTAAATAAAGATTAATGTGTTGTTATTGCTATAATATCCT